AGTTCTTAAGAGACTCTTTTATTTCATCTTAAATGAGATATATTATATGCAAGAAAAGGCATTTGATAATGCTAATATATACTTTCTGTTAAAATATAAAAACAAAAATGCTCAGAATATGTCAAAAAAAAGTTCTCAAAATATGCACTTATTTTTTATAATACTTACATCTTACACTTTAGGCAAAAAATCCTTATCTTGAATGTCTTAAGTGTCTTAAACATTTTTGTACTGTATTTCATTTCTTAAATCTTAAAAACTATTGCTTAACTGTCTAATTAGGAGATATATTTGACAGTTTTAAGAGATATGGCGACCTAGTAAAGTGGTTAGGTTATTAACCTCCTAAGTGGTAAGTTGGGTATTCAAATCCTATCAACAGTGAAAATTTGAATAATCACCTATATAATATTCATATTACAGCAATTGTTACTAATGATTGGATTAGGATATCTGTAATGGCAGTTACACTAGCATGACTGGCAGGTTATGGGTATCTGTATAAGTATAGCATTATACAGAGAAATGCAAACTGACAAATCAGGCAGTACAAACACTAGATAAGTCCTTGTGGCTATGTAAATCTGTTGAAATTAGATAACAAGAAGTCTATTTGGGAAGACCTAAATAGAGAAGTAGCTAAATCTTTGATGGTCCTACTGTAAAAACTAGCCTGGAAAAACAGATACCAAGGTTATAGTATTCAGTTATAGTAGCCAAATGGGCAAGAACCTCTAGATTGGAAGTCTTTGGGGTACCACCAACCAAGCTGCCAGAATGAACTAAAGGAAAAGAATATCAGGCCAACCTGATATACTGATGGACTGATCATAGTTCTACACAGGCTATTTGGATTAGAAATTTGATAAAAAAAAAGTAAAAAGGCAGGAGTATACTAAAATACTAGGATTATGCTATAAAGTAGATGCTAGGGTCTAAGTAAACTCTACAAGGGCATAGCAGTTTAATAGTTGGCTCTAACTACAGGTGTTGGTTCTGTCATAGTGATATCTAGGTCAGCTGTAAAAATAGGTACAGAAGACTCTAGAGGATTTACCTCAAGGATAAATTAGTTCTAAGTTTGAGATAATGATTTGGATATCTGAGTATGACCTAGTGAGTTAACACAGGTTACAGATTCAGAGAGTTTAAAGTGGAACATCCAAGCAGGGGTATTAGGTACAGCAATTGATAGAGAATCTTTAGGTGAACTCCTTAAATAGGTAATATAGAAAAGTTACACATATAGTTAATTGTACTCTCTCTTGTAATGGTTCATTGAACCATAATACTGATAAGTAATTAATAAAAATCAAAAGACCAAAAAGGTTACCTTAATACCAAAAAAAAATAATAATAAAATATTTGATAGTTTTAAGTAAAGAGACATTCTCAGTTCTTAGCTTTACAATAATAATAATTAAATAGGCTCAAATAAGGTATTAAAAAAAAAAAAAGGTTTAAAAAAAACAAATTAGATTAAGAGATCAATATTCAAAAATCAAAAAAAAAACTTTTTATATCTTTATAATTATATAACTGATTTTAATTAAAAGATTAATGATTAGATAATGCTAATCTTCTATATATTTGCTATAGCTATAGTAATAATAATCACAATGCATAATGTAAGATAAGTTAAGAAGGTAATAGTTAGCTAGAATAAGTTTGCTAAACAGATTGTTTGGAAAGTGATAATTAACTGAAAAAAGTTTGTTAAATAGATTTGTCTAGATTGTCTTGATTGGATTAGAAAGGATAATTGATGTTATCTACTTCTACTACTTATTATAAAAAAAGTATTATGTGTACTTCTTATAAATCTAGTGAATTTGTTAGAATTAGAATTATTATAAGATGGTTAAGATGGTTGATAAAGACTAGTAATATTATTTAAATTATAATAAGAATAGATTGTATTAATAGAAACAGCCAAATAAGAAGAGAATAGGTTGTTATTAGAGTTATTTTCTATTTTCAAAATTTTCAAAAAGTTATCTTTCAGGTGCTAAAGCAATTAGAATTATATATTTAAAAAAAAAGCTTTAAACAATTAGTAATAAAATAAATATCTAATAATATTAATCATTGTATAAAAATTAATAAAGAAAGTATACTTATCTTATTTGTATTTTTGTTATTACATTTGTTATAACAATTATTGAGATTTAATACATATATATATAATTTCTTGCTTAAATTTTTAAATTTAAAATATTATTAATAATATAATATAAAGTTTATTTTTATATGTCATTTAATTATTGTTATGTTTTGTTGTTTATATAAAAAAATTAATTAATATTAATTTATATTGATGTATAACAATTTTATTATTTATTAGTTATATTTATTTTTTTTAAACTTCTTTATAATACTATAATATGCATTGGACTTTTTCTTAATACATTATTTTTACTTTATCACTTTTTATTAATATCTTTTTTTGTTTTTTTTTATTTTTATTTAAAATACATTAGGAGTATAGGCATTATAAACAAAAATTTTTAAAATCATTTGCTTTATTACAATATGTCTTACAAAAATATTCTTATAACAAAGCTTTCACAAGTCAAATTGTTTTGAATAAGCAGTTAGATGATGTTTGAAATGTTCTAGAATAGAGCTCTAGTTATTATAATTTTTTTACAGATTCTGAAGTATATAGTTATATTACTAATTTAGATATAAATGATATATGAGAATTGTTTTTGTTTAGAATAAAAATATTTTGATTTCACCTTAATCTGAATTAAGTTTAAATAACTTTTCTTCTATAGAAACAGAACTACTTTTAACAAATAATTGTCTCTTTTTATAGAATATGAAATATTTTAAAACATGTCTAATGAAAGTGACTATATAGATGTTTTAATAGATAATGTTTTATCTAAAGCTGTAATAAGTAACCTTGATAACTATAAAGAGATTCATTTGATAATGTTTTCAATAACTTATATTATTTACAAACTAATAAGTGACCTAATAATACATATTATGAATTTATAGAAATAATTAATATATATTAACTTTTAAATTTAGCAAGTAAAAAATAATGCATATTATATATCTATAAAATTAATTAATATATATCAACTTTTAAATTTAGTAGTAAAACTATTATAAAGCTCTTTAACAAAATTTTAAATTTAGATATTTTGTTACTTTTATCATTAACAAAAGCTAAAAAGAAATTTTTTGATAATATTACTATTTCTTATACGATGTTTAAAGAAATTTTTATAACAATATTTTAAGATATAAAATATATATTTTATTATTAATTATTAATTAGAACTATTAAGTCTTTATTAATGATTAATAGTATTAATTAGTTACTAGTACTTTAATAGGATAATAAAAAAGAAATAAATAATAATATAAAGCATCAAATTTTTGAAAAACAATACAATAATAATTAGTAAAAGTGCAAGAGTCAATATTATTTGTTAGGCAATAATTGCTATCACTTATTCTTTACTTTGATGTAATAGCTCTAAACTATATAGATAAATCTTTAGAACATATTATTATATCAGCTGATTTGAGTAATTTATAAATAAAGATTATTTTTTAAAATTTTAAAGATAAATAAATTTTGATTTATTGGTTGTTTTAAATGATTTTACTAATGAAATGTTCATTTCTTTGAGACAATTCTAATGAGTCCAAAATCATTAAAATCCAATTGCAAGATTGCAAGATAATGTGCTGTTAAATAGTGACACACCTAAATAGAGAGGTTGATTGGTTAGTCCTATGTCTAACCAATCAACCCCACTATCTAGATGTATTACTATTTGATAGCGCATTATCTTCTGATCCTGTAATTTGATTTTAATGTTTTGGGCTCATTAGAATTATCTTAAAGAGATAAACACTTTGGTAGCAAAATTATTTAAAACAAATCAATAGATCAAAAGTTATTTATCTTTAAAATTTTAAAAAAATAATCACTATTTATAAATTACTCAAATCAGCCCATATGTATTTTTATTACTTGGCAATATTTTAAACTATCAAAGAAATAAACCAAAATCTAAAGCATTAGTTAAATTTCTTTTAATTATAAAAACCAAGAATAATAAAACAAAAGATTTTGAAAATTTTTGAAAAATTTAACAAGAACACTTTCACAAGTATATATTAATTTTTCTCAAGTCTATTGTTAATAAACAAGAGCTTTACTTTATTATATATAAAAATATAATAATCTTTATTTTACAAATATTATTTATATTTCTAATATACTTAAAACTAATAGGTTTGCCAATGTGTATCAATTGTCTTCTGCAAGATAGCTATATAAAAAATACTTAGTATTAAATAATGATTTGAATAATAATAATTTAACAGACATAATTCTAACAACTATAAAGTAAATAATAAATAGCAATAATAATTAGGGGGCTATTTTTTATACCCCCTATTTTTATTATTCGTACCCCTCATAACGTAAGTTTCCGATATTCACGTGATCACGTGCAATGATGATCAGTGCTTAGAATGCTATTGGGCAATAGCGTTACACGCATTACATACAAATCTAGATGTTAAACAATCGTCTATGTACTGTATTTTTTTTTTAAACCTTCGACGTGAGTACAGCACTTTTGATACCTGTACCTACGTACAAAAAGGAAAAAAATCTTGGATCGTAACAGCTTATACATACCAAATCGTTTATACCAAATCATTTATAACTAAGAAACCAATCTTTTTCTATCCAGTTTTACTATGTACTAATCCGTCGATTATCATTATCATTATGATACACTAACGATAAAGTGTAACATTTTCAAATTTGGGTTATTTTATTTGCATGTGTTAACATGTATTTGAAAAAAATAAATAAGCAGGTCCGAAGTTGTGAACTTTAAAATCTGATCTATGCCATGAGCAAACTTTTATTTCTTTTAGTTTATTTATACATCAAATAACTAAACTTTTTTACACTGCTATTTTTTATTTGTGCAGGTACGAGCATTATGCCTAGGTTGTCAACAAATGGCACAATGCCTACCCTTGTGTTCTACCATTTCAAAGCCAGAGGGATCTCTGCATGTTGAGTTATTTTTCTGGTGATTAGGAGCTCCAGAGGGACGGCCTCTTGTGTGAACCACATTAGGATTTTGTAAGGTCATTGATAGTTCATCAATCAGGTTTTTCAAAGTATCTTGTGCCACTAATTGCTGGAATTCTGGCCATTCTTGATACCTTTGTTGTAGATTGTGCAAGAGAGATTGTAGGGGGTTTTCAGAATTGGAACTATTTTCTTCAACCTGCAGCATTAGTATGTTTCCTGGAATCCACCAATGTTTATGAATGTCATTAAGCATTAGATTTTGAATATTCTTCAGATGCTGAATAAAATGAGTGCAAGGTAAGCCCATCGTTCTTGTGAAAGTTCCAGTGCATGATGGTAAGGGCTCTTGTGCAGTAGCACATTTTGCCTTCTGATACTGATCATTTATCTTATTGAGTGCAAAGCTTGATACTTTACCTAATGTTATGAATCCATGCAAAAAATATAATCGATTAGTCAATTGATTATTTTTTTAAAAAAAATCGATTAATTATTTAGTTGCAACTTAGTCAACTAGATATTTAATCAATTTTTGATCCATATCACTATAGTTACTATCTAAACTATTTTGGATGGCCCAAGCCATGTGATAATTAGCATTACATATAGTTTTAACCTGGTCTTAATATAAACCACATATAATGCTAATCATCATATGGTTTGAGCCATTCAAAATAGTTTGAATAGTAACTATACATATTACTAATTTTACCTCTAATATTTAAATATAGAGAATTATAAGTAGCAAAAGCCGGAATACAAATGCGCTCTGATGCAATCATAGTATTAAATTCTTTTCTCTGGTTGGTTATTGCTAATGATATTGTCATATAAACATGATGAAGATCCCCCGTAGATGTTTGTAAGTATGCTTTTAATGTTGCATACGAACCCTCGATATGTGAAGTTACAGTTGTGCCCAAGTGAAGTAATTGATTTGTCCAGGCTTTTATAAATTTTTCCTTCTATGGTATCCAGATTTCCTGAAGATAAGATATTACACTAGGTTTATTAATATAAGCGAAGCATAAATTATTCCATTTTACATCAAATTCGCTTTCTGTTTCAGATTAAATGATATCATTCCACTTTGCAAGAAAACTTTGTCATTTACCACTTTCTTCTTTATTGGTTTCTTTAGGGAACTGCAGCTTGCAATTTTTTAGGATCTTCTTACTAATATGCCATGTACAAAGTAGGTTTGTTGAATTGGGAAAGATAATTTTGAGGGCATTCATAAGTGCCAACTCTCTATCAGTTACTATAACACCGGGTTTTTGCATTCCATCAAATATACTCATAACATTTGTAAGAGCCTATTTGTAATCATCCTCCTCTTCATCTTTCATAAAAATAAAACAAGAAAAAAAAGTTTTATTAAAGCTGGTTATACCTACGATGTTTAATAAGGGCATTTTAAATTTGTTTGTCTTGTAGGTACAATCCATAAGAATTACTGTAGGATATTGACGGCTAAGAGAGACTGATTCTTTATGTGCAAAAAATAAGTGAGTAACTGAACCATTATTATCACACTTATACTTATATAAAAAATCTCCTCTTTGAAGTTTATCTACTAAAGCCTGAATAGGTGTTCTACCAGCCAGATTTTGTTGCCAAAGCTGGGCACACATATTATAAATATCACTGCTAATGACTAACGTTGACAGATCATTTTGTCGAAGTGTTAATATAATTTCATGGTAACGTGAACCAGAGGTAGTCATTATTGCAACACTTTCTTTTTGTTCTTCTGTTAGTCGACGAACAATGGGATGTTCTGACATATCATTTGAGGGACCATGATTATGTGTAGTATTACGAACCTCCAAGTGCCACAAGCCATTTTGTCGAGTTGCATACAATTCAAAAGGACAATCGATTAATCTGGTACTTGTTTTTCTGTTATGTGTTTCTTTAGCAAAACCAGAGGAGTTGTTATAAACACCTCCTCGGTCACAACGTATTGACATATTTTTTAATTCACCACGATTATTCTTCCGAGTTCTTTTTTTAACTAGGGTGTACCTTTGAGAATTTGCAAATCTTTGTGCATTCTGAAAAAGTTCATCAGCACTATTATGTACTTCTGGAGGAGGTGAAAGCATGGTTATTATAACAAGGACAATAACAACTTATTGTATAAAGATTTGTTGGTGCAATTGATATATCTTAAAACTTAATTCACGTAAATTAATATTTTGCTTATTTCAGAAACGATTATGGTGAAAACAGAGTTAAAATTACAAGGAACGAAGGATTACAAAAAACGAAGGTCGCAAATACAAATTAACAATTAAAATGTGCACGATTTATTATAGTTTTGAAGAAATTTTAAGAGCAAAACAAGGTATTTTTATCAAATTATTTTTAATCTATAATTACTTTTATTTCCAAACCCTTCTTATATTTTAGACGCATTTATGAAAAATTTTATTTACTTTTATTAATTTAATATACACTTTATCTGATCTTCAGGCTGTGTAATGAATGTTTTTTATTTTACCTTCTTTTTTAATTCAGAATATTTGTTTTTCATGATCTTAGATTCATCTTTTCTCTTATGCGAATTTTCACAATCTATTTCAGAGCTACACGCTACGCCTTATTGGAATTTATTATATCTATCTTTTTGCTAAAAATCTAAAAAATGTAGAGTGCAGCTTGGGATGTGTTTAGCAATTCTTGTGAAAGTGATCAATAAATTTAGTAGCTAATTCAAATTTTATTAATCACTTTCATGCGCATTTTGTGATCTATTTCATAGCCACATCCTATACCTTTTAGGATTATTGCTTTTTATATAGTTTTTTGTTCTAATATATTAGTGAATTTTACGCACACATTATAGTATTTATACTTATACAATTTGTGTTTAGCATTCTTGTGAGAGTGATCAATAAATTTAGTAGCTAATTCAAAATTTATTGTTCACTTTCATGTGCTTTCGCAATCTGTTCTATAGCCACACTCTACACCCTTTAGAATTATTGCTTTCTTATTATAGCATTTATGCTTATACCATTTTAATACTTATTTCTTTTCTCGCCAGTTGAATGATTTAAGCCATTTTCCAAAGCCACACCATTTTAGGTTTTATTATTTTCATACTTGTATGTATGCTACTTATACGTATGTAATTTCATTGATCATACAGTCTAATCGAAATCAATACCTTATACTATTTTAGTATTCTTTTCCTTATTTTGACTAGCATCTAACGATCATTATATTAAAAGAAATGAGTTTATAATAGAATATGCACATCAAGTTGCAAGATTACTAACAAAAAAGCAATTTATTTACTATAGGCAGCTATAACAATAACTATTATAGTGCACTGACTAAAGGATCCAGGTCCAATAGCTGTAACGGGCCAGTGTCGCAAGAAAGATCAATTATATGTATTCCACATTTATTCTAAACAATCTAGAAATTTTTTCAAAAAAAACCACTTTAATTAATAGTGACTGATCAGAGTATTTTGCACAGAGGTATTGAAAAAGGGTATTGTGGTCAGTACATTACAAAAGCCGAACTTATTGCTAAATTGCTTTGATTTAGAGATGCTATATAATTTTTTTTATCATTTAAATGTCAAGATTACAAAAATACCATTTCGAATCATTGATACTGTTCCTGATAGGGCAAGAAACAAATATTGATTTATATACAGTTCTTGATAGGGTTCTAAAAAAGGGCCTTTAAATATTATATTACTATAGTGAAATATATGAAAATAGTGAGGATTAGGGTTCGTTTTTAAAACCATATCAGGAACGTATTTAAATAAATTTTTTTTAAATTCCATCAGGAAT